GATTAAGGAGAGGAGAGGACAGTGACAACCGATCACAGTTGACTATAAATAAATAAACATATAAATAAATAAATAAATACTGTGAGCTTAGCATCTTGGTGAAATTTTTCCCTTACTAGAAGCTAATAAGAAAATTAGAGGTCAGAATCAAGAAATAAGTGAAAATCTAGAAGAATCAGTACAGGAAATGGATAAGATGACTGATGACTACAACAGGATAAAACTCTTGTGCATCAGACAGATATTACTGTGCACCACATTTTAAAAAAGAACGGGCATTGGTGATTCAAGTCTGAGAGCTCACAGACCTTCTAAAAGGTTGGGATGAAGAGGGTGATCCAGGCATAATGACTGTTGGTGCAAATATAGAAGAATGGAAGTAGCTTTTCTCCACTGAGAAAACTCTTTCACGTTTATATTTTGATTAATCCTACATTTTGATTTTAAGGATTTACAACAGAAAATAACATTTATATCGATTTTTAAAATGATTATCTTATGTCTTGTCTACAAAATTTCTAAAACCTCTATCTGTAGTCATTAAGCTCATTTTTTTTAATAAAACAAGCACTTTCAAGTCCAGATTAATAAGGTGGTGATTAGGAAAAGATCTATCAAGATCAGTTAGACAGAACTTTCAGAGTACTCTCTTTCTGTAACTAATTACCACATTCCAATCTCATCTGATTCCTCCACTCACTATTAAGACCCTAGGATTATGATGGTTGCTATTTGTGACCACTCTGAGACGACTGAATGAGTAACTCTTATTGTAGAAGCTGCCATTGTAGTGTCACAAGTTCTAGCCATGCTCACCATAGACCTTACTGACAAATAGGAACTGTTTATTATCTGGAAAGCCTAGATCATTTATATTTGAAACAAGAGATGTTGCAATGGGGATGGAGCTGAATGAATCACAAAGGGTCAGTTAATTCCCTTGGGAATCAGCACTGTTTTCAACACATTTAATCATTATATTTAAAAAGTTATCCCCTACTGTGTGATATTTAGGAGTTTTCCAGCTTTTCTTTTGAAAGCAATATTTTAATGAGAATTTCTGCATGTTATTACATTGTAGATATGTATTTTGAGGAATCAATTGCTGTATTTTTGTGATACAAATTACAAATATATCTATCTAATATGTAATGTATCATTGGGTCTCATAATTTGCTACATAAAATATTTGTTGTGTATCTCATAATTAAATATATTTTTTAAATTTCAAGACAATGCTGACATTGTTGTGATTAAAGATGGTTTGCTTTGTACAGCTTAATTAATTAGTAATTTAGGAATTAATTAGTTATTTTATCAAATTCATGGTGAGCAGAATAGCTTCTAGTATTGCCCTGTGTTGTGTTTTCTAAACATAGGTTGGAAACAGTAGCTCTCATTTTCCAATCGAGGGAAAGGACTGAAATGATCCTAGAGTGTGTAAGACAGTTTATATTTTATGACATTAGCAGAAGCATTTGGAAAAAGAAAGTGCAGATTTTACTCAAGTGGGCTGATATTTCAGAGCATTTATCCTTCTAGAAGTCAGTATTACATTAGTTTAAGTGTGAACTTCTGCTGTGGTAATTTTGTGATTCCTCACACCTTTTTTGTTGGTGGAGATCTGATAAAAAACACACCTCTGCAAAAACCTCCTGCAGAGTCAACCTGTGTCAGGGCTGTAGCTGCATACCCAGCTGCAGTTTTGGACCAGGCTGCAAGCTTGCTGGAAACACAGTGCTTCAGTAGCACAGAGGTAGGTGCCTGAGTCCTCCAGCTGGGCATCCCTGATGTGCAGGTTGCTGTTGCGCTCCTTAGAATTGAACATTGCAGTTAATCTCCCATTCTCCTTTTTTCCTGGAGTCATGTAAAAAAGATTTATGAGGCTGCCCCTGGGATTCTGTCGGAACCACTGCACATTTGCCATGGTTGCAGAAAACTTGCATGTCAGTGTAGAACTAGCTCCCTCTTGGAGACTCAGGACTGAAGGACTCTGCTCCACCTCAACTCCTCTCACCACTGCTTGGAAACAGAAAAGCAAACCAGAATCATGAGGGGTTTTCACCCACACCTGTCAAATATCCCAGGAGACACCTTGAGGATGACTGCCCAGGAGCTCTAGGTTGGCTCATCCCCTCCACCCTGACGTCTCTGGAGAATCCCTAAAGCAATGTAGAAGAGCACAACTCACAGCAAATCTGCACAAACAGAATCCCCAGCACAGCTCCCAGCTTCCTCTCCATGGCCCCTACCCAATTGCTGGGATGTCCTCTCCAGCTGTGAGGGTGTCAAGTATTATGCTTACACATTAAATTCTCTCTGAATCACCCAACTTCCTCATTCATTGAAAAAGAAGCCCCACCCACTTCCACCTCACGAATTTGCATGGCAATCTCTCCACAGTTATGGCTGACAATGATGGGGACCCAGGGACACTGTACTTCTAATGTAACACTTCTTATGAGGGGAGTTGGAAGGAAAAATGCCTGAGGAAGAGGAATACATGCCAAATACCGGTGGGAAAAGTAATAGTTATAGTGTGTTAAGCTGAGCCTGAAAGAATCCTAGCACATTTTTATGTACCTTTTTTGGCCTCAAAAAAAGAATTTCGTACAATATATTATGATCATAATCTCCTCTCCTCAACATCCTCTCAAATCTAACCCATCTCCTCACACACACCCTGTGGAGTAGGTGGGGAATGGGATGGAAGGAGGATTGAGGGAGGGCATGGGAGGGAGAGGGAACTGGGATTTGATATATAAAATAGAAAAGTCACTCTTTTGGTGGTTGAGGTCCACTAGGGGGCACTGCAGGATTTCTAGAAAATACTTTTGTTTTTCCTTTTTTTTTTTGGTTTGTTTGTTTTTAATACATATTTATTATTTTTTTCTTATTTCTGTACCCCACAAGGAGGGTGATCCTTCCAGGAGGGATTATCAAAATCTGTCAAGTCATTTGGCCAAGGTTCTAGGCCCTCCCTCCTGTCTCTAGACTTTGGGCATATCCTCCCAAAGTCCTTTCAATGCACTAAGGATTCATCCTGGTCCCACTGTCAGAGGTCCCTTAGACTGCCCAGGCCTTGTAACTGAGAGCCACATTCAGGGGTTCTGAATTGGTACAATGATGATTTCCCAGCTATAACTCTGGGGGTCCATGAGCTCCCCCTTGTTCAGGTCTGCTATCTCTGTGGGTTTCTGTAGCCTCCTCTTGACCCCTTTTCTTATCATTCCTCCCCCTCTCCTAATGGATTGCTGGAGTTTGGCTCAGTGTTTACCTGTTGGTGTCTGCTTCTGTTTCCATCATCTACTAGATGAAGGCTCAAGGATGGCACATTAGTTAGTTATAAAACTCATTATCAGGGAAGGACATTTAAGGTAGCCTCTTCGTTGTTGCTCAGAGTATTAGTTAGGGTCATCCTTGTAGGTCTCTCGACATTTCTCTAGAACCAGTTTTGTCTTCAAAATTGTAATGGCTCCCTCTATTATGGTATCTCTTTATTTGCTCTTATCTATTTGTTCCCCGACTCAATCTTCCTGGTCCCACATGTTCTCCTCTTCTCCCCTTCTCTTTCTCCTAACTCCCTCTCCACTCACTGCCCACCCAACGTTGCCAATATTGTCGGGAATTCTTGTTCTTTTCCAGTTCTGAGAGGGACCTTGTATGAATCGCTCAGGTTCCTCCTTATATCCTAGTTTCTCTGGCAGTGTGAATTATAGGCTGGTGAGCCTTTGCTCCATGTGTAAAATTCATATATGAGTGAGTACATCCATGTTCCTCTTCTAGTTCACTCAGGATGGTTTCTTCAAGTTCCATCCATCTGCCTGCAAATTTCAAGATTCCATTGTTTTTCCCCCCACTGAATAGTTTCCATTGTGTAAATGTGCCACATCTTCTTTATCCATTCTTCAGTTGAGGGGCATCTAGGTTGCTTCCCGATTCTTGCTATTACAAATAATGCTGCTATGAACATAGTTGAACAAATGTCTTTGTTGCATAGATGTTGATCATTTGGGTATATGGCTAAAAGTGCAGTTACCGAGTCCTGTGGTAGACTGATTCCCAGACTTCACCCATTCCAACAGTCTCACTCAACCAGCCCTTTTCACCCCATCATTCCCTGGTGAAGGAAATAGAGTTCACAAAAGAAGAAATAAAAATGACCAAATGATAAATCTCAAAATGTTCATCATCTTTAGCCATTAGGGAAATGCAAATTAAAACAACTTTGAGATTTCATGTCATCCCACCCAGATTATCTAAAATTAGTAAAACAACTGACAACAAAGTCTGATATAGGTTGTGGGGAGAAAGGAAATCACATTCTGGTTTTGGTGCAATGGAAATTGATGGAGGAACTCTGGAGAATCCTCAAAACCTAAAGATAAATCTACCACACCACCCAGTTCTGCCACTTAGTGTTTTATGTTCAAGAACTACATCTACAATCTTGTTTATTTCAGTGATGCTCTGTTCACAGTCACTAGGAAGTGAAACTTCTTTATATTCCTATGGGGTTTTTCTTATTCTAAAGAAACTTAAATGACATCAAGAACCAGTTTATCTGTGCAAAAGGCACCACAAAACTTCAAGTACTTTCATATCAATTAAAAGATGATGACTGCCACGCAAATAAGAGAGAGCTGTGTAAAATGTGTCACAAAATAGAAAAAAATACAGCAAGTTTAATTAGTTTTATCCATGTGTTCACTGGAGCATGGTCAAACTTGAATCAGCCAGCCTCTAAAGAAAAGCTGAGTCCTTCCTCACCCTCATCTCCCCATTCCAGCAGAAACCATAAATGTGAAGAACTACACTTTAACATCTCTATCATATTTTTAAAGAGTTTTCTTCAATGTCTGCCTGTCTAGACTGTTTCTTTTGGGGATTGGCCGTTGGAAGGACAGATATGACACAGAAGCCTTCTATGATTCTCATTCTCAACTGTGAGGCTATAGTGATCAATACTACTGCAAAAGAAGCTTCCTTGCCCATTACAGTCAACAGTAATCATGACCATAGACATCTACTTGGCGTGTAGTGAGAGCACAGACAAGAGCCATTAACACAGGCCTTGGCTGTAGAGTGGTCAGTGCATACCGTATGGCCTTGGTAGCAGAACAGGCCATGTACATCAACATGGCCTCTAGCTGGAACACAAATCATGGATATCCACATGGCTTCCTGCAGCTGTGTGGAACACAGATATTAACATGGTCTCAGATGTCAGGCCAGGGTGCAGATATCCACTTGTCTGTTGTAAAGCATCAAAATGGTCTCAGGTGGTAGCACACCACAGATACCTATGTGGCCTCCAGTGATGGATGCATGGACCACAGAAATCACCATGGTCCCAGGACTGCAGGCATCTACATGGCCTGCAGCAGCATCATGGATCACTGATATCAACATGGTATCCAGCAGTAGTACAGACCATAGACATCCACATGGACCATGGGCATCAATATGGCTTGGGGAGGCACCATGAATCATTAACACTAACGGGGCCCTTGGGGGCGCCAAAAACCATAGATGTCTCTCAGAGTGTCCCAAAACAGAAAATGAACTGACCTCCTTCTCAGCCTTCCTTTCATTGCTCATAGCTATGGAGATTGTTCAGTAGGGCATGGTTTTCTGGGAACAGAGCCTACTTAAAGTCATGCCTTTGCACAGAATCGTGCTGTACCCTATGGGGCAAGGACTTGCATCATTCTCCAACAACTTTTTCACTGACAAATATCTAGTACAACGTCTTTCCACCATGCACTTGTTTCCCTTTCTTTCCACATCCCCATCAATATTTGTGTGGTGATATTTTGTTCATGATTTCACAAATAAACTTGCCTGAAGACGAGAATGCAATGTCAGCCACACTAGTTAGACATAGACGACAGGCAGTGGTGGTACAAACAGCTTAACATGCACATTCTCATAGCAACAAGACACTGGTATGACTCAAGTTTTCTCATTTCTATGTCATCATAAGCACTAGACCATTACCAAGTCTCATATCACGACATTGTTCAGTCTCATGTTGCTCTTTCAGCTGGGCAGGGCATTCAGGGTAGAATCCTTGAGAGCTGCAGATGGCTACAAGTCCTTGTCTTCAGTGCTAGACACCCTGAGGTTCACAGGATGCAGCTGTTATGCTTGCAGCCTACATGTAGCCATGTGGCCCAAGATCCCTTTCACATAGCACGGTAAACAGAAGCTCTGTGCTGTGGTCAGGTCTGCAGGACACGGGTGGGCCTTATTCAGTAATGACATGGCCTTTATCTGCAGTGACCACACTCTCCCATACCTTTTGCCACCATATTTACAGTTTGCCATTCTCTGTCACTCTTGCTGCTCTGATACTCTCTGTCATCTTTCCTTCAAATTCCACTAGTCCAATTTTTAAAGCAATCTTCTCATGAGACCAGACTTTTTATCAGTTCTTCCAGATATACTGCAGGCTCTGCAGACTCCGCCTTTGCAAAGTCTTCCCTCAGAGAGTCTATGATTCTCTCAAGTGCTTGGAGCTTTTCTCCAGTAAAGAAGGTGCCAGAATGTGCTAGTATCTTTGATATTTCTGGTAGTTTAAATGTTTTTAAATATTTAATTTTATAGGTTGAAAGGGGGGATGCCTGTACAGCAGGGTCTCCCTCACAACCCTGGATTAGGGATAAACCATATCCAAACACCTTTTTAACAGAGATCCTTTATTCAGCAGGGAAGAAAAGTTAAAATGGCTGATTCCTAACTCTGGCAGAAAAACAACAGTAAATGACCTAGCAGATGTAATTTTTAAGAAGAGAAAGACAGGAATTCTATTTAGAAGGGGCTAGGATGATGTTGTAAAACAAATAGGGGATGAGGGAGAAAGGGAAGGGGTACTTGTCCAAGAGGGACAAAGGGAGGACTACCTCTGAAAAGAGAGGAGAAAGACATGGCACATAGGCAAATGGTGGATTATAAAGTAAAGAGCAAACACCTGTGTTAGGAAGAGGTGTTTAATTTTAACTGGCATGTCAATCGGGTAAGCCCAAGATGGCGTTTCATTGATGGACTTAGGTAGTCAGGGTCAGGAGGGGGAAGTGGTCAAATACGGGAATAGACATTGGAGGCCAGCTTTAGGAAAGGAAACTAAAGGTTTTTAGCAAAGCAGAGGGAATAGGAGAAAATGGCAAGTCTGAACAGAGCCACATGTGTGAGTGTGCTAGTGTCCCCTCAGAGCTTGGAAAGATAGCTTAGAAGTTAAGAACAGAGACTTGCATGGGACATGATGGTCCAATACTTTGATCACTTCCTTTAGGAGATAGAGGCAGGAGGATCCCAGGGCCTTCTGGAGGAGATGCAGCAGTATTTTTTTCTCTTATTTCTATGCAAATGACCCTGCAATACTCACAGTCCTGGCTCCCAGCAACACCTCACAGACACAGGGATGCTTCTCATGCTTCACTCAACACTCCACAGAGAGCTGCCAGGGTAGTGGGGCTTCATCACTATCTGATTTCAGTGACACATTAAGGCAAATTGCTGTTTGTATTAAATAGTTTTCACACACTGAGCAATAGTGATCTTCTAATAAATATATTAATTACTAATATTAAAAGGTAAGAGCCTTTCCATCATGAATGTTCTCTACCAGTGACACAGAGATGTATTTGGAGTGGGGTCATCTAAATGGCACCTGACGGTCAACTTGGTCTTGACAAATAATCAGTTATTCTCATTATTAGATTACTCAAGGTGCTCTAGGAATTGTATGTTTCAGAATCAGAATTTTAAGATGTATTATACTATCCACCTATGTAACAAAATACAGGAAATTCATGTTCTCAACAGTGGAATATATATACATGTATATATATATATATATATATATATATATATATATATATATACATATATTTACACACATATATTTGTCTCCAGCCATTATCACAAGTTAGTGTGCATGCAGCAGGTGCCTGGGCACTGTGCACTTGCTGCATAGAATTGTGTGGCTGGGTCCCCAGGATGGGCAGCTGTGATGTTCATGGAGAGATGTTTGTCCTTTTTATTCAGTAGGACAATGAGTCCTGTATATTTTCTATCCACATTTGAAAGGACATTTATTAGCAGCTTGATACCTGCCCCAGGCTCTTGTTCATACCAAGAGAGGTAATATTTGGGAGTGCCTGTGTAGGAGCAGTTGATAAAAGCACCTCCCCCTTCCTGAAAGTTGTGGATACTCCATGGTACTGAGCTGGGACCTCTGTATGTGGGCAATAATTATGTAGCTTTGTGTTTGGGAGGACCCTGGCAGTGGAAACATGATTTGTGTCTGGTGCATGAGCTGGTTTTGTGGAGCCTATTCCATATTGTGGATGCCTTGCTCAGCCTTGATGCTGTGTGGAGGAGCTTGGTCCTGTCTCAACTTAAAAGTTCCGGCTTTGTTGATTCCCCATGAGCGGCCTTATGCTTTCAGAAGGATGGGTAGGGGGGTGAGTTGGGGACATGGTGGTGAGCAAAATGATGGATAAAAGGAGGAACTGTGCTTGGCACGTGAGTTAAGAAAATAAATGAAATTTAAAAAATCATCATCATGTTTAAGTTGGCTTACCCTCAGACCTGTGAGGATACTTCAAGATACAAAAATCAACAATTATATTTCAACACATAAAGTGAATAAAGGAAGAAACCATATGACCATATTCTTAGATGAGAAAAGGCCTTTGTACAAACTCCAAATCCATTTATGATGAAAATCCTGGGGAATCTAGAGGACTTGTTTAAACATAATAAATTCATTGTACAGCAACCTCATAGCAACATCATGCTAAATAGAGAAATCTCAAAGCAATTTCACAAAATCAGGACTAAGACAAGTTTGTCCACACTTTCTATACCTATTCTATATAGTACTTAAACTCTTAGCTAGATAACTAAGACATATGAAAGAGGTAAAGGGGATACACTTAAAAGGCAGAAGTCAAAATTTCTTTATTACAGTGATATGATTATAAACAAAAAAATCTAAAAGTTATCAGAAATTTCTTAATCTAATAAATAAATAAAAGTACAAAATTAACACACAAAAGTCAGTGGCCTACCTGTATACAAATGGCATACATGCTAACAGGAAAATCAGGGGAAACAATTCCACTCACAATCTGCTTGTAAATACATGAGAAAACATTTTAGATTATGATACTGTAAAAGCATACCATTGGTAAGAACAGCAATGAAATACACAAGAGCAATATTAAAAATATACAGATCTCTGAGGCCAATGTTCTGATATATTTTCAATACTTAAATGAATGGAAGGTTTAATTTTGTACATAAGTAGATAATATAAAAGGTCAGTTTTGCTAGATAAATAATAGTAATGCAATTATTGGTGACTTAGAAAACATTATCACAATAAATAAACATTTTGTGGAACTTAATAATCTGACTACAAAGTAGTATTATGGGCAAAAGATAATTTTTAAATTACAAAAGCAATAAGAAATGGAGATAAACTTAAAAAGGGAAAAACAGGGAGACATTGATATTAGGGAGAAACATGTACTATCAGATACAAAAGTTAAACATAATTAAATAGAGTTATCCAAGCAGGGAGGATGGTAGAGTAGACATTGTAACATATTACCTTGTCCAGAAGCATTGTAAATGATAATCAAAGAGGCTGCAGGCCAGTAGGAGAAGAATGAAACATCATAGCATGTCTTGAGAATATGGTAAGTGTTCTGGTCAGCTTTCTATTATTGTGATAAAACCCAAGAGTCAATCTGAGAAAGTGGATGGTGTGTTCACCTCACAGGTTACAGTCCATCATCAAGGGAATCCAAGGCAAGATTCCAAGAGAAGTGCTAGAAACCATAGAGGAACACTGATGCCTACTGCTCTGTTCAACTAGCTTTCCTCTATGGCCCAGGCTCGCATGCCCAGGGATGGCACTGCCTACACAGGACTGAGCCTTCAAACATCATTTGGCAATCAAGCAAATGCCAAAGATGGAGTCAGTTCTTCCACAATGTGTCAAGTACACAGTAAAGATTAGCCATCACATTAAGCCCTAAAAAAGGAAAACATAAACCTCCCCATACTCCTTAGAAAACTGACCTTCATGAATAAAATAGTATTTCAAAGTAAAATTCAGTTATTGGAAGAATGATTT